ATTCAACTGCAGTTGAATATATTCCTGTCATTACCTAACTCAGAACTTTGTTTTTTGTTTGCAGAAGAGTCTTCAGTCAGTGTCTGTAATCAATGAATAAGGAAAAAGGCAGTGAATTGGGACACACACAATTTGTGAGTAGCTTAACCTAACCTTGATTTATCTTGTTTGTTTGTTTGTTTGTTTGTTTTTGAAACAGGGTCTTGCTTTGTAGCGCAGGCTGGCCTTGAACTCTGCAGCAATCCTCCTGCCTCAGCTTCCTGAGTTCTGGGATTACAGGTATGCACCACTATGCCCAGTTCCTAGCCTATTATTTCCATTCTTACCAATTTAAAGGTAGATTAAAAAAAGTATCTACCTCAAAGGGTTGATATGAAGATCATATATGAATGTCTATGAAAAACTCTGAACCATAAAGTACTATGAATGTGAAAATTATTGAATACAATGTAATTTGTAAAGAAGAAGCACCTTCTTTATAGTAGTGGCAAAGGAGTTTACACTGTATCACTAAAGACCAGTACTTTTAGGGAGAAAGGACATAAAGATAAAAAATTGGTGAAGTGAAGTAAGATTCTGTAGCTCTGAATTTGATAAAATACAATTGGTCACGTGTTGATAACTGTTTGAAGCCAGTGGAGGCTCATAGCAGCCTACTTGAAATATGTTTGGAATTTTCTATAAAAGATAAATTAAAAAAAGTAAGGACAATACTTCTTACTAGTTTTAGTTTATTTGATGCTTCATTTTCAAAAAATAGCTGACACTAAAAAAAATAGCTGAAACCATCAAATTTAGAAATTTTAAGATATGCTGCTCAATGTAATGAAATCTCACCTCCATGACACAGGAGGCGGTACCTGCGACATTCTCAACATTAAACTTAAGAGGGGCCACGCTGGACCTCGGCACTTCCAGGCTATCTTCCTGGCCATGATCACAGACACACATGATTTAACTGCAAGTCATCACCGCAACCTACCGTGTCATTTCTATTCTTACCAACTTCAGGGTAGGTTAAAAGAAATAACCTTCCTAATTCTAAATCTAGCATTCAATATATGAAAATAAAACCTGCCACTGAAAAACCCCAAATTTATGCTACTGTTCAGGCTGCTGCTGGCATTTCCTTTCATTTATCTGCATACTTTTAACCTAACAATGAACAGAAATAATAAATATCAGATATCTGATTCTTCCATACAAAATCCCACAAATCACTCAAGTGAGCTTCTGGTCCTCCAGGATTTACTGAATAAATGTTCAAGGCCCGTTAGTCATGAGACCCTGGACTCTCAGCTCATTGCCTTTTTTCTTACTGATACAGACACTGAGTGAAGACTGGGTACAATCTGAAAAGAAACAAAATTCTGAGTTAAGTAATGACAAGAATACACATATTCAATTGTAGGTAACCTGGTGAAATCTTACCTGATTATGCGAAAGTTTTTTTTTTATTTTGGTTTTCTTATCCAGATAGAAAACAAGTCTCAGTAGAACTGTTTAATCAACGGAGGGAAAAACAAAATAGAATGAGATCCAGCCAGCCCTGGCAGTGCACAGCTGTTATCCCAGTTATTTGGGAGATTGAGGCAGGAGGCTCACAAGTTTGAGGCCAGCCTGATTTAACTTAGTGAGATTTCTCAAATAAAATAAAAAGGGCTGGGTGTGGTGGCACACACCCGTATTCCCAGCACTCGGGAGGCTGAGGCAGGAGGATCATTGTGAGTTTGAGGCCAGCATGGGCTACAAAGTGAGCTCAAGGTCAGCCTAAACTACATAGCAAGACGTTGTCTCAAAAAGACAAAAAACAAAACAAACAAACAAACAAATAAAATAAAAAGGGCCGGGGATGTAAAAGCCTTTCACACACAGCACTCAGTGGCAGAGTGCTTACCTAGCATGTTTGAGGTCCTGGGCTAAATCCCCAGCAATGTCAAAACAAAACAAAACAAAACAAAATAAAAAAACCAACAAAACCAACAAAACCCAAGCAACTGAAAGGTACTTTATTTTCTTAAGGTTGATATTTTGGTGTTGGCTACTATGATGCAATCTCTTATCCACTGAACTCTATATTAAAGATATTTCTGAGAT